TTTTAATGGAATTATGGCATTTTCAATTTGTAACGGGAACCAGATTACACTTGCCGGTAGGGGACTAGTATTGCTAATTGCAATACTCTCAGAATGCTTGTTACTTAAAGTCATATATGGCGTATTTTTTATAAGTTCAGACTAACTAAAATTAAAAAGATCTTCTATTTGTTTTGTTTTTTTACTTTATATAAAGATAGGACTTTCCTGTAAATTACACAATTTAAATCAATCGCGTTTCATAGATATTAGAAATTTAAAACAATTACTGATTTATTTACCGTCTCCGCATTTAAATAACAGACACAGTTTAAAGTCAATTTAACTATAGAAACGTGGGTTTATTCAAGTTCAAAATCGGTGAAAATTTTAATTTGAACGTAAATAAAAAATATCATGTTCATTTACACTCAATCTCATATTTTTAATTTTTTAGCTCAGATACGTCATGCATATATAGCTTTAATAAATTATGAGTGCTCTAATTAGCATTGTTTTGAATTTTTCAAGATATTTCTATTTGATTTAGGGCACAAATAAAACATTTACAGTTAAATGTGTATTTTTTATCATAGGCTAATACTTTGTACGTAATGTATTAGTCTCGTTCAACCAGTCTCTCGTATGTCTCCGTAATCTCCGACGAGCATCTCTGCTCGTCGGAGTTTACGAAGACAGTCGAGCGTCTAGTTGAACGAGAATATACATTATGTGTAGTTTTTTGTGAATTACCTATTTTTTACCTACACCTTTTAATGTATACACTCCCTGTCGTTTACTTGTTTGTTTGTTTTTTTTAAATTTCATGTAGAACAAAATATGAAAAAAATAACTTCTATCAAGGGAAAGAGTTGATAGCTTTGAAGGAAACTAACTCCATTTTTTGTCTACACTCAGATCATTGTCTTACTGCCTGGAGGACCATTTGTTGGGGGGGGGCAATTTTTTTCGGGTCCGATTATATTTTTTCAAGCCCCCACAGGCCACAGTATTAAAATTAGCAGCTTTTACTTTCTCTTCATTGGAAAAAAATTGATGAGAAAATGAAAAATAAGGGAGTAAGGAAACAGCCCAAAATGCGAATTCTCAAGGGGATGGGGTGGGTGGATGGGTTACCATTTTATATAATTATATCAATTGGGCGAAATGAGATTGTATTAAAAAGTGAAATAATTGACACACTTTCAGAATAGATGGACTAGCTGCAACATCAGTCCAAAATCATTTCGTAGATTTTATAAATATACAAAGAATATTCGTTATACATGTATTTCATAGATTAAATTCTTGATTATGTGTATCGATTTGTGTTTGTATCATTTCAATCAGAATACATTTTTTCTATAAGGTATATATACAAATGTTACTCTGGATAAGGAGCACCTGAAATGTGATAATGACAGAAGTCTAATAGAGCAAAATAAAACTATAAAATATGAAAGTTTATTAAGCTCATTTTCGTAGTTAAAAAAATCGCGTCATAACGTTACAACGCTAAAGTTACGCCGTATAACCGTAATATAACGCGAAATTATAAATATAATATATAGTAAGTCATGTTAATCAGGAACCCGTGATCTTGACGGACAGATAAGAAACATGAATGCAGTCGGGGACGACTATGAATTTATGTGTCATTTCTTCAGAATTGAGAAACTGCAAATACTTATCAAAGCATGCACAAACCATTTACTTATTTCATATGCATGGGGATTGTAATAAGCAATTCAATTACTTGTAGACCAGTCCATTTAGTAATTAACTTCCATGTTATTGTTTTCATACCCAACTCAGAATTTTTTTAATCTGTTGATTTATTTAATTAACAGTCCAACATCTACTTTTCTATGGAGTTCAGTATACAGTAAAACACGCTTATAGCAAACCCACTTATAATGTATTGACATTTTCAGGAAAGGGATTTCGATTTCCCATGGCATTAAAATATAAATGAATTTAACTTCGTTATAAACGTTTCTTGCTGTATTAAATACATGTAGCATCTAATTACTTGTACACATCTATTAAGAATAAGTGTATAAAATAAAAAATAACAAAAACTATACGTGTAATTCAACGTTTAACAGAAACATAATTTGATCATATATATATATATATATATATATATATATATATATATATATATATATATATATATATATATATATATATATATATATATATATATATATATATATATATATATATATATTATTTATGTCTCTGATCTGACCAGCTGAGGGTTACAATAAAACTTTAATCTCTATCCAGTTTGATCAACAGGAGGGCTGGGTGATCATGAATATTTTAGGCTATTAAAATGTCTCCTGAACAAAGGCAATAAAACTATAGGAAAATGCATTGAATTTAATAATAAAGAGCCACAGCGTATGATACGCCCATATCATGGGTTCCTGATTAACATGACTATATATAAACGTGTATAATTTCGCGTTATAGCGCAAGAATTTCGCGTTTACTCGCCATATTTTTTTGCCTACGAAAATGAGCTCAATGGGCTTAAATTTCGTATTATTGGAATTACTGCGATGTTTCATAATTCGTTAGCATTGCTGGGTATTGTTGTATTCATAAGAAAATATATCGACGTTTATTTTATATCATGATATCAAAAATTTAATGCAAAAATCTGCATTTGAAAAAAAATCTACGTCTGTGCGAAGGCATGTTTGATAAAATTAAAACGTTTCATGAGCTAAAATAGCAAATGCTGGGCAATAAACAAAACCTTAACATAATTTTGTTGTTTGACTTTGATAAATTAAAAAAAATAATAATAATTTCACTGATATTCCGTGGAAGCAGAATAAAGTTCAATAACCCTTTCCCTTCTCTGCATGAATCTTTTTTTTCCCGACGAAGACTCCATTGTTAATGACATTGTGAAAATTTAGAAGTTCTGAAAGTGTCCGTTTCAACGAAAAGGTCCATTATGCCTATACACCATTAACATGGGGAATAATTAGGGGAATGGGTTCCAGGTCATTTCTTTTTACTATAGAGAGTTAATATCTGAAAATTCCAGAGCGGTCAAGATCCTCTTGAACCCCTCCCCTGCCCCGGAGATGTAAAAAGTGTCATTATATAAATATGCATAAATCGTATAAAAAAGAAAAATATATGAGTTATTTCCCTTTGCAGCATTTTAAAAAAGATTGATTAAATAAATCATATTATAGAAGTACCTTTTTTCAGAATTCTTGTCTTTTTTCATTGGGCGTATTAAATAAAATTTTGAACATGAAAGACATATTTCTAAATATAATTGATGAAACATTTTGCAAAAACCTACATTACATGATATATATTCATTTTCTTCTTTTTCTCACACGCTTCTTGTAGGAAACAATCTTCCAAGCTATGGAGGCCTAAGGTCTCTTCACAATAGGGGCCGCATAAGATGCTTAATGATCTCAATGGTCACCTGAGTATAACTATATTTATTACATTTTCAACCGTGAAAACTGTGATTTATTTATTGAATAAAAGTGATATTCTCTCACAGTGGGAAAGGATACCAAAATGAAGAAGTCGAAAACGTTCACGACAATTACAAAGACTTTGCTCAGGTGGGCTAAAAATGTCTGTCGAGGTCTGCAAAGGTATGCTTCATTCAGTGATGTATAAAAGTTAACAGATAATTATGTCATTAACAACATGAAAGTACAATTCAATAAAAGAAAAAAGTTAAAAATAAAATACGTATTGTCGTATTTCCCTTTTTTCATTTACATTGGAGTGATGGGATCATCTAAACTCATGAACGGGTTAATAAATATTAAAAGATGGCGGCCTCCATTGGACGTGAGTTTGTATATTTTTTATTTTTATTTTCTCATTATTTGAGAATATCGAATATAAACATTCCATGTTCTTATTCCTTACAAGCCCTTCATTGTCTCTTTTTAAATTATCATTTTGATTTTTAAAAAAAATTCATGGACATTCATAGTCAACAGGTCAAGACAATTTCACAGAAAGATAGGCTAACTTGACAAGATAACATATGATAAACTTTAATTCAGTCAAGCATGGTAAGAAATCCACCGTACATGACCAGCAAAGCTGCTATACATAGCCGTGTACTATTTTGTTTTGAAGCCCCCATAATGAGACTGTTTTCCGAGGGGGGGGGGGGGGGGCATTGGAACAGGTTGAGACCAATATGTGACCAAATGGGTAGTGATTTATTTTGAAAAGGGTTTTCATGGGTCCAGTAAATAGTAATATTATATTTATACTTGTATTTCATAAACAATTTGAATTTGCAACAATATTGATTTTACAATACATTAAACTTATTTCGGACCAGAGTAATTAAGTTTAAAATTACCTGTGAGGAAGATCTTCAAAGATATTCCCGTGTGTCTATTACACACCTGTATTCTTGTATACACCCATAGGTTTATATATAAGGGGGACCAAACCACTTGAGTCATAACCATGAGGGATGAACACTTGGAACAGAACCACCTGATACCAAAATGACTCTCCGATCAACTTAAAGAAAATTTCACAAATTTGGTATTGAGAACTTTTAATGTAATAAGAGTTTTGAAACCTATATGTACTTTAATTCAGGAGAACAGGGTTTAAAAAAACCCCCAAAAAAACAAAAACATATGATAATTAAAGACAATGTTTAAAGTATCAATACATAGATAATATGTGTATTGATGCATATTGAAACTACCAATGTATTGGTACTTTCAATATATTGATACCAATGTACAGTCCTATACTAAAATACACCGTCCGAGTACATACCAGTAGAGCTACAATCTTGCAGAGACTTCTGGTTACATAAATATATGTATACCGGTATGTATATACATGTATTAGAAAAAAAAATCTCAAGAACAGCAAAGTCAAATTTTTATGGAAGCATGTTCAGGTAGTGCAGATTTTAGTTTGTTCAAATGTTTGTATCTGATAAAAATTTCAGGCATCTGTGCATATGTTAATGTATACTTAAATTTATGTATGTAAAATGTATATTTTTTACTCTTTCAACAAATGTGTTAGCAGATTCAAGCTCAACCAAAAAACTGAAGAACTACAGACGCTTGCCATTGTATATTGTTGAAGATCATAATGAGGTACGTGTATACAATACATGAATGTGATGGCAACGGACATGCCTTTAGATTCTTTTGCTATTTACAATGTTATGTTACAACTGCATTCTTCGTTTGTGCAATACTGTTTAATTAAGTCTGTTCTGCAATAATATTGCTTTAATTGAATTGCCAGTTTTATCAAACCTTTGCTTTATCAAAGGGTGCTTTATCAATACCACTTCCGGTTTTAACACAATCACTCCCTTCAAGATGTTAAAATTTCTCAAAACTTCAAATTAAGAAAATTATTGTATCAAATAATGATTATTGATGAGCAAAAATGTTAGTTAAAACAATGAAGAAAATATTCAGTAGGCCAAGCAGTTACAAGTGTTAGTTGGTGGTGCAAGATTTCTTTGACAATGAAGAAAAGTCGATTCACTTTTTACAACTGATTTCTTACTTGATACAGTGTTGTCCCTAAAAATTAAAATAGCAGGGGACATGAAAAGAGTAGAAGGGGATCTGGGGTTCCTATCCTAATAGGGGAGTGAGGATCGAGGAATACCAAAGTAACCGGGGGGATCATGTCATTATAGGCAGGGAAATTCCCCGGCCCACCGGGTCTTAGGGACAACCCTGCATGATGGTACTATAAACATATACATCTTACCATGGGTCTACACAAATGAATGAAAATCCTGAAATGCATTCTTTGCACTTATTCTTATTATATCCTTGGAATATTACAACTTTTCATTTAAAGTTTATTTTATTTCTCTGAAATAAATCTCCAACATACTTGTCATGTTTATCATATGTTTTAAAAGATTCAACTAATTCTAAGTTTTCATATTTTTGTATCTTTTGGCATATCAAAGTCAGCAGAGCTATGTCATCAAATCATGCATCATCAATTCAGAGATTTATCAATCATTGGAATAATCATTGTTCGTGGGGGACCAATGTTTGTGGATTGCATGGGCCACCCTCACCCACGAATTTACATCCCAACAACGTTTAGTATATGTATAAGCATATTGTTTCATTGAATCTTCCATATAAGTGAGTAACTCAAGAAATTATGTCCCAATGAACAAGTAAAATTTTGCTTTACTCTCAAACATTGACCCCCACAAATTAAAATGATTCCACATTACTCCCTCTCCTTAAAAAAGCTTTTTTTAAATTTGAATTTTAAAACTTTTTTTTTCATTTTTCATAATGCAGTATAACCAATCTTAAGAAAATAATTCTGTATTTTATCTTCACTTAATCAATATTCAATAATGATATGTCTACTTTATATGAGACTTCCACCCCCCTTTCATTTTGTTAGCTTCACTTATAAATCCAGTTCCTTTTAAATCAGTATGCTGTATTCCTTTAGTAAAATCTACATTCAAAGTGTTGATTATGCAGCTTCTCATTTTTACTGAATCAGATTTAAATTTTAAAATTTTTATCTCAAAGACTTATTGTAGTACACTGTATGGGTTTTAAAATGTGCAACAAATGTTCATTATTATTAACATGGTAAAGGTTTACAATGTAAAACAATAGGTTTGAGAACATGGTACATGTATCAACGACATAGAATTAATAAATTTTGGACAGCCTTACTGTGAAATGAGTAATTTTTATAATTAGGGGGAGGGGTTTATTTTTGTTGTTTTCATGATATTAAGAGACCCATGGATTCATGTCCTTCAAGAAATGTTAAAATTTCAAATACACCTCTTCAAGCATGAATTAAAATACACAGGAAAAAATATTTTTAAACCATAGAAAGGTGACCCAACAAAAATATAGTGATTTTACAACTTATTTGTACATAAAATTTGTTGAGATGAGCCTAATCATAATATTTGATTGCCTTTTTTTTCCCTTTAGGTTTTGCCATACATACACCGAGCCATAGGAAGTCACCATCTTCCATTTTCTGATGTGACGTTTGTTCACTTCGACTCCCACCCAGATCTTCTCATTCCAAAAGAAATGCCTGCAGATGATGTTTTTGACAAGGAATTACTTTACGAGTAAATACATGTACAGTATATTTTTGAATTCCATAAATTGAAAGTACTTAGATTATATTTCCTTGAAGTGTAAAATCATTTTTTTTTTAATCATTCAAATCCATTTTTTTAGGAGCATCAGCATAGAAAACTGGATCATGCCTTTGGTTTATGCTGGGCATGTCAGTGTTATTGTGTGGATCAAGCCTCCTTGGTGCACCCAGATAGCAGATAAAAATATCTTCTTCTATGTGGGCAAGTGTACCACAACAGGGACAATAAGGTGAAAATACATATTACCTGTAATAGAATTCAGTAAATTCACTTCAGAATCAAAGTACATGCATTATATGTACATGGCAACTTGTAGAGGTTTAAACAAAAACCACAGTAAAGAACTTGCTTATTAGGACATCTTTGTTTATACATGTATAAGAATGAATCCTGTATGACTGTATGCACCATGTTCCTCATATGGATATGAAGCACCTTAGTTTGTACAATGTATAAGAAAAAGTATGAAATCCCTGTGACTTCTTTATAACCAAGTTTTACTGTATATAGGTATATAGGTAATATATAAATTTTACTGTATATAGGTCTCTTTAATGAATGAGCCAAAGACTAAAGTGTGCTTTTCTGATCACATTTTGTCCGGTGTCCATCTGTCTGTAAATTTTCATATTTTCGACTTCTTCTCCAAAGCCACTGAGCCAATTTCAACCAAACTTGCCACAAAGTATCCTTGGGTGAAGGGGATTCAGGTATGTTCAAATAAAGGGCCATGCCTTCTTCCAAGGGGAAATAATTACAAATTAGTAAAAAATTAGTAGCATCTTTTCAAAATTTTCTTCTCAAGAACCACCTGTGGGCCAGAAAAGATAAAACTTATGTGGAAACATCCTCAGATGGTGTACATTCAAATTTGTTCAAATCATGGTAGGATGGGGCCACAACAGCCAATCAAAGTTTTGCAAAGGAATGCATAGGAAAAATCTTCTCAAAAACAGCAAAGCCATGATTAGTCAAATTGATAAAGAGGCATCATCAGGTAGTGTAGGTTCAAGTTTATTTAAATCATGTACCCCAGGTATAGGACATAGGTATATAGACAATCAAATGTATAGGAAAAATTCTTTAAAAATCTTGGAAAGCCATGATTAGTCAAAGAAATATGGAAGCATCCTCAGTTAGTGTAGATTCAAGTTAATTCAAATCATGCCCCCCCCCCCCTCTCCCTGTTAGGGGTAGGTTGGGACCACTTGTATATTAACTTTCCAATACTGAACTGATTTCTGCTTTTTCCTAGCCAAAGTGCTTAGGTGAGCAGAGTGGCCCATGGGCTTCTAGTTTTATCTTGTTATCATGGCTGCTAATTTTAATAATGGATTAAATATTGTTGTAGATGCAGTTGTAAAGAATCGTACTTTGTGAGTGAAACGCTTTACAGACCAGAATCTCAGCTCTTGAACAAGAAAAGAGTTCAATTGATTGTGTTTACACTGAAACCAAATGGCTGGAAGGAAAAACCACACTTTGACAAATCGGTGGAAAATATCAAACAGGAAGGAAAATATAAAAGTGAAGGTATTAAACCAGAAAGTAAAGAGAATAAATGTCATAGTAACAGTAAGTTAGGATCAGAGGAATGTTTGAACAAACAGCATGATCAGGAATTCTTACACAGGGATGTTGAAGAAGTAGCCAGTGAGAAAATAGATGGGCATGGAAACTCAGACCATATAGAATGTGACGACAGGTTAAATGACTGTGAAGATCCGAATTCCAACAACTTTAGAGCATTAAGTGACAGGAAAACTGACAATACTGTAGCTAACAATGAACAAGAATTGAATGATGAAGTGAAAAGTCATATTGCACAAAGTGAATTCAGAGACAGTGAGGGTGCAAGCAATTCAGTGTTACATTGCGGAGGTAGTTCCTCTAGAGAATTGACAGTTGATAAATTCAGGGAATCATTGACAAGTATCAGTGAGTTATTACAGGAGTTCCCGGACAGTCCTCTGATCTTGGATATTGACTTAGATTTTTATTCTACAAAGAACCCTTTCCTTGAAGTTTACACACCGTCACAATACAAGATTCTCAAAGAATTGTACAGCTTTCAGACACCTTTAAGTACATCAGATGAGGTGTGTGTAGAAGTGTATTTATAGGTCATATATTCATTAATATTAATGTTTGAAAGTTTTTCCTAATGGAAGGATGGATATATTTTAAATTTATACATTGGGATTGATGATTTTTATATGCAGGCCTTATTATGATAAGGGATTTCCCATCCATCCTTCTGTCTAGCTGCCCCCTATCTGTTACGTATAAGTAGTACTTTTTTTGTGTCAGGATTTTATCTTTCATTCTGTGATTGAGGCCAAGGAGCATTAAGGCTGCCTAGTCAGCTGATTCAACCTTATAGGAGGAAGCTGTGTTGCAACCAAATGTATATGCTTCTTGTATTCTATAGAATTAAAATCAAATACATGTATATACATTTGTGAGATAAATATGCAGGTTAAATGACTGTGAAGATCCGAATTCCAACAACTTTAGAGCATTAAGTGACAGGAAAACTGACAGTACTGTAGCTAACAATGAACAAGAATTGAATGATGAAGTGAAAAGTCATATTGCACAAAGTGAATTCAGAGACAGTGAGGGTGCAAGCAATTCAGTGTTACATTGCGGAGGTAGTTCCTCTAGAGAATTGACAGTTGATAAATTCAGGGAATCATTGACAAGTATCAGTGAGTTATTACAGGAGTTCCCGGACAGTCCTCTGATCCTGGATATTGACTTAGATTTTTATTCTACAAAGAACCCTTTCCTTGAAGTTTACACACCGTCACAATACAAGATTCTCAAAGAATTGTACAGCTTTCAGACACCTTTAAGTACATCAGATGAGGTGTGTGTAGAAGTGTATTTATAGGTCATATATTCATTAATATTAATGTTTGAAAGTTTTTCCTAATGGAAGGATGGATATATTTTAAATTTATACATTGGGATTGATGATTTTTATATGCAGGCCTTATTATGATAAGGGATTTCCCATCCATCCTTCTGTCTAGCTGCCCCCTATCTGTTACGTATAAGTAGTACTTTTTTTGTGTCAGGATTTTATCTTTCATTCTGTGATTGAGGCCAAGGAGCATTAAGGCTGCCTGGTCAGCTGATTCAACCTTATAGGAGGAAGCTGTGTTGCAACCAAATGTATATGCTTCTTGTATTCTATAGAATTAAAATCAAATACATGTATATACATTTGTGAGATAAATATGCAGAGAGCAAATAACTTCATTTCTGTATGGGCCCTCTGTCAAGGATATATTCATAACCGTATGTTGCATGCTTTAATTTTTATGTTTTTATGTTCCAGGACCACAAACTGAGAACAGCCTTAAGTGGAAATTTCAAATCAATATAACTTAAAAATAAAATAATTCTTTTTTATATGATATTATATTATACAAACTTCTTAAACATATTTGTAAAAAAAAAAAAGAAAAAAAGAAAAGAAAATGTAAATTTTGATATATGTCTGTAATCAGTTTATGGTCTTGAGGTCAGGACACAGAAGAATGATTATTGAAAATAGAGAGAAGGATTTAAACCATGATATGTTTAAAATTAATATTTCCAGAATGTAGAAGAATGTGTATTAAAGAGAGAAAAGGAGTTAAACCATTTAAAGCAAGAGTTTTTGAAATTCACTGAGTGTTCAGAACCAAAGCTCAATCATTCTAAGTGAGTAATATTTCTTAGTGGCAGTGATTTTCTGTAAAGTTTGGGGCTGCCAAATAGATTTTTCAAGTACTTGCCCATGGGCAAAAACTATAAAAAGTAGGAATACAAAATAATCATTACAAGCCCCCATGTCCACTTAAAACTAAGGCATTATTCTTTTTTCTTGAGAAAGTCATTTGCCCTTGGGCAAGTGGTTAATAAAAATTCACTTACCCATCCCTAACATTCACTAGTTCCTGGTGTCAGGCAATAGGATTTGTCAGCTCCAGAAGTTTAATGTCTTAAATATCACAATAGTATCAGTTATATTTAATAATTTGAGTATGCTATAGTTTATTGAAGAATTCCACGTATATTTTGTGTATTGTAGATCCGAGAAGATCAAAGCTTTAGTGGATGACCTGCAATCTTGTCAAGCAGATGATAATCCAGTGAACTTTGACCTTCTGCATGAGGCAGGGTGTACCTGTGATGACACAGAACTCCCCCATCATGTGAGCAGTCAGGAGGAGATAACTCTGTTAGTTGATGCCACACAGGACTTCTTGTGCCACATCAAACGTCCAACTATAATTACCATGGCTAGGTAAAAGATCTCAATCAAATACATTAATAATCGAATATATGGAGAAAATTCTTTTTTGCCAAGTACCTGATATTAATAAGTATTCATATTTTTGTCTGCAATCTGTCATATTACATATACATGTATATATATTGTACATTCCAGTTTATGTACAAAAGTCTTAAGTGTTTCAGGGATCGTTCTTTAAAGCTTAGTTAATTTTTCTACTAGCTATTTCATTATGTTTTATTTGCACTGCATGAGGGTTGTCCAAAAATCTTATGGACACATGCTATTTTTTGTTAACATAAGCGACACTGCCAAGTACTCATATGTAATAATTAATATATAAATACAGATCATGATTGAGTACCATTAAATTTATAAAAATCAGAGCAATGCACAATATTTTACAAATGTAATCAACTTAAATACTTTGTATATACAAGAAGCACAGCCCAGTCCAACTTTAAGACAGATTCATAAAAAAAATTCATGAATATGGGATTTGGATTTTCATCACGGTGGTTTTCCACTTCTTGCAAAAGTTACATTGATGATACCTAATCATGTTCTATAATATAAGCCATGATTGACTAAACATTTATCTAAGAATCAGAGCATGATATGTACTCAGCATAAATACTTTGTATATACAAGAAGCACAGTCCAATCTGAAGTCAATGTCATGAATATAGGGTGTCGTATTTACATCACATAACAATGACCGTCATGGTAGCTCAGTTGGTAGAGGGCTCGCTCTTTGATCGGGAGGCCATGAGTTCGAATCTCGGCCGCGACTGACCTAAGTCCATAAAAATAGGTAGCAGCTGTTCCTTCACCATGCGCTTGACACTTTGAAGTGAAAGTTGCGGGTCCTTCGAACGAGACCTTAAAAACCAAGGCCCCATGTCACAGCAGACGTTGGCACGTTTGCTTAATGGCCCTGAGTGCTGAGTAAAGGTTTAAATTTGAAGCCCTTCACCGGTATATGGTGACGTCTCTAAATGAGTGAAAAATTCTTGAATGGGACGTAAAACAACATACAATCAATCAATGAATCACATAACAATGGTCTTCCACTTCTTGCAACGTCTCTCAAATTGGGCATGCCGCATTTATCCCACTTGTAAATCAATGAAGTGGAAATATTCCTTCCATTCTGTTGATGTACCGGTAATTATTTTTGTGGTCTCTAAATGCATTTTCACTAGATAGACATAATTTTATGACACAGGCTGGTCTGTTTGGATGGCCAAAGTTGCTTTTTTGTGCATTTTCAAAGACATATTTCCCATATTTTTTCTTGATATTTCTTTTTAAAAAATATCCCATAGTAACAATATCAGAAAATACAGTCAGCAATTTTAGTTACCTCACATTTAAATTTTATTTAGTTTGGATTTGTTTTATGATAAACAGTCATTTAAATCCCAAAACTTTTTTTCAAAGTTTACAACATATTTACTCTCGGCCCTGCACACTTTCCATGACCACTTAAGATGACAAATTTTACATAAAATTTAAGATAAAATAAGCAAAATCAAACTAGTTTGACTTGGATTTTTATAAAAACATTTTGGTATACAATATGTATATGTATGACCATTCAAAATGACAAAAATGTTATTGTCAAATTTTTCAAACAGCTCTCATACAGTAGTTTATTCTTGGTCAGTATCATGCACTTGAGTAAAATATTTTTGTTCTTTTTACAGATCGAGTCAAGATGACTACTGTCCCCCAGAACAAGTAGAGTCCATCCAGAATAGCGTCCTAGAAGTTCTACAAGACCTATACTTAGAAATAGAACTTACTGCTGACTATTAGTGATCAGGCATAGGTAGAATGAAAAGATCATTGTCAAGGGAAATAACAGACATCTATTAAACTATATTGGAGAAAAATCTAAAGTTGTGATTTTGAATATAGAAAGTAAATAGTTGATTATGTCCCTTTAAATGCAGTGTATTTTCCATGAATAAAAAAACATGAGTGATACATGCACTTGTTGTTTTTTTCTTCTTTTTTTTTTATTTTTAATTACATATATTTTCACAGATTTGTACATGTTTATCACAGTTAATCATGCAGACAAAAGTACTAAACATGCTGAATAGCAGAAAAATATCACAATACAACACAGAGGTATAAAAAACAACCTGCAATTCTTTTTCATCATCTACCTGTACAGTGTATTACATGTATATGTGAAATACATATTAGGCCAAAGTTTTTTTTTCAATTGGTTTACGATTCCGCCGACCCTAATTTTCACAAATCATGAAAATAAAAATAATGTCTTTTTCCGACATATTTTTCCGGATTTTTCTCAGCTGAACTGTTGGGTTTTAAATTTTAGAATGCATCTTAGTCAAATAAGCGCTTATAAATATATGAGACCTTTACAAACATTTAGGTGACCGTAAATAAACACATGTGCAACCAAAAATGGCGGTTCTGTCATGTAAGAAGGTAATTCCTCACTGAAAGGAATGACACACACTTAAAGAACTTTTTATGCATGGAAAAGTGAATAAAATCTTGGATGCATGATCCCTTTCTCTAATTGCGATGTCTCAATTGGCTAAATTCATCCCGTAATATTGGAGAGTGTATGACCAACCCTGATCGACCTAGCAGACAAGGATACACCTATAGGTAACAGGGATTTATCAGTGCCTTCTCATGGGCCGAAATTCGGCCTCATTCCCAATTGAAAATGAGTTCAGTTTTCCCAATTTGGCAGTATTTTTTCCCAATTGGTGAACAATGCTTTTATTTTTAATTATCTTTGGGAAAAAAGTAAAATTGTCAGATTGTCTGTAATTTTCATCTATTTAACTCATTTAGCAAAGCTACAGTCATAACACATGTTTTAAAACACTGAAAAAACGTCGCCAACTTTTAATCCGAATTTCCTCCGTTTTCTAAAAATGATGATATTGTGTAATTATATAGATTTATTAAGTTATTTCCATCTACTCAATTGATCTACAAGTGAATGGTAAGGACTTTATGCATTATTTCAGATAGAAAAATATATTTTCAATGCATTAATACATATTAAAAGAGGACTTTTAGAAATGTGTACTTAGTATAATTTTTTGCAGGAGATTTATAATCTCCAGAAACAGATACTATAATGACCTAAATTGAAATCTCATACACACATGTACATGTACTACCCTAAGTTGTATAAATACTTTATACTCATTGAAGTCCATTCTAATTGTCGTTTGGTTGCCCAAATTAGAGTTCATGCTGAAATGTTAAATGAATTACCCCTGAATACATGATTTAAGCAACATTTTAATTTTTTTTCCAATTTCATCAAATAGCCGATATTTTTTTCCCAATTTCCCAAAAATGGTGTTTCCCAAAATAGGCTGATAAATCCATGGATAATAGTTAAGCCAATTTAGTGTTGAGAGATACATCTTAGTTGAAGTAACGCTGACCTGAGTGATTATTTCACTGGATAAGTTCAAATGTGTATAAAACATTTTGTTAATTTATAGAAGTAATTTTAATATACAAATCTTTGCAAATTTGATACTCAATTGAGATTAGAGCCCTCTGAATTACTAAGTAAATAATGAGCATTGCCTACTGTGCAGGTACATAACAAAATTTAAAGAAGGGCTTGATCGAGAAATTATTTGAACATTAAATTTAATAGCTGCATGATCAAATTATTACAGTATAACCTTTATTTCAACGTCAATTACTTTCAATATTGTTAAACAATTAAATTGTATTTTTCTTCAATCTAAATTTAACTTAAATTTGGATCCTTATTTTTAGTTTGTGGGGATACCGAGGTTTATAACACATCACATATCACTGAAGAGCACAAAAAGAAGTTGAACATCATGAACCAAGCACTGATTGACAAACAAAAATCAGAACTAAATGAAAATGACATTCAGTCTAAAGTTAGAAATGAATTAAAATTAAATAAAAAGAGTTATGTGATCAAGACAATAAAACTTAAAAGTACTATTGACGTGTATTATTTTCATTAAAATAAACATTGCTGGTATTTAAAAATGAAATTGTTGAATTCTAAATTATTTTTATTTTTATTTTTCGACCACCCAATGCATTTTTTTGAGACAGAAAATCGTAAACCAAAAAAAATAAAAACTTTGGCCTTATTGTACAGTACTTGTTTATCCATCTACAGTACACATTATAACTTAAACTTAGCCATAGTTAAATTTTGCTTATTTTATATGAAACTTGAGTGAACTGCCTCAAGAACACTAATTACACTACATGTATTACATGATGTAAGTGATGCATTAATCTCAGTATTAAAATTGCTTCACTTTTTTATGATTTCACAATTCTTTAAATCTTTGAAAATTATATAACCAAGTATTATTGATTTAAATGTGACCTGTACTTAAATTTTACTGTTTTCATTTTTTGTTGATAGTTTATAAGATATGATGTACATCTAGTTTTTTAGATAAATGATAAAACCTCTTTAAAAAAAAACAAAAAAAAAAACAACATATAATGTGTTTGAAGATGAAAGTTTAAACTTTGTCATTTAATGCAAAAAAATTGTATGAAACAATAGATTGAAATATACAAAATACAAAGAACACAATATGTAGGTTAGACATGATTTCATTTTTTTTCCACATAATCAATTTCACAGTCTTCTATAGTCAATACTTTGGCACACATTGTTACATTTTTTCTTTGCCAGCAGACATGGACCACTTTCCATACCCTGGTCTTATTCCTTTGGAGTTTATGACATCCATCACCGCACCTCTTTTAAACTGAGACCATTCACTCTTCAGCTTCTGGTTCATGTATTCCTCCTGAATGTCACTCTGAAAGAAGAAGACATTTATATACTGAGGCAGCAATTCTAAGATTTCAGTAAGGAACATTAAAGCAATATGAGCTGCAGCTGTGATGTCGGAAATTTTTGTTGCAGTATTGTAATTAAGTATTTCAATAATAGAAAAAGAAAGTTTGTAAAGTTCTGTTGTTTATATTTGGGGTGGAAGAACTAATTTTGAGCTCTGATTGAAGCAAAAGTACATTATTGTCGCCCTGTACAATATTGATTTCTTATATACATGTAATACTATACATTCCATTGTACAGAAATCTTTCTTCTGAAACAATTTAATACTTTATTTTAGTCTAATTCATCATAAAGGTTTAAGTTTCATACATATTTATCATAACAGCACATTTTAACAGCAAAATTCTCAAGAATGCAGCTCATATTGCTTTAAAATATGTTGGTGTGATGATCATGTATTTTGACCTATTTACTAAATCTAACAGTGACTCTGTCAAGGTTTAGAACACAAAACTTGTCGGATAAAAATCAATGTTATTTTTACTTTGACTGTGTAATTCAATAAATTTGATTGGTTTGCTTGCTACATGTATCACTTGCAAAATTATATTTTACGATATTGACTTGAGTTACTAAAAATAACTTAAGAAAAATCCAAAGATGTGTTTATAATGGTGAAAAGTCTTTCAAACTTACAAATTCCTACATAATGAATCTGTTTCTTTCTTTTCCAAAGAAAATAACATAACAAATGTAGCCCTTTGATTTGGTCAATCCATAGGTATATCGATTCACAGAAAAGCATATTGACTTCGCACTTCGTGCTCAGTAGATATGCTTTTCTGTGAAGATACCTATGGATCGACCTCATAAAAGGGTTATATTTGTATAATATACACATGTACTGGTATATTTATTGTTTGAGAATGAGTTTCTTACGGAGGCCTTTTGTGTAACAATTACAATAGAAAAACCATTTTCATGCCGTCCATAACAGATGCAAATTTTCAGGAAAATCTACTTGAGAATTTTTGATTCATACCTTCTTAAGGTTACCAAAGGTTGGCTCTGCAGACTGTTGAAATAATTTTTTGGTATCATCATCCAATTCTGTAAAGAACAAATTACCATCAAAAGCTAATCATTATAAATCCAGAATAAGTCTACTGTAAAAGGAGACAACCCAGGAAACACTGATGCAAGGAAGTACAAAGTGTGATGTGTACAACAAAATAAAAATAAAGATAAAAAGGAAGTATTTCACAGCTGATACCTTTAATTCGCTCTTTTCGGATAATGCCTAATTCTACATTTTTATCTGTGAGGATTGTACAGTCTATTGATTCGTCTAGGAGTACACTCAGCTCAGCAAATGACTGCGACTCCTTCAGTATTCCTACAACAACCTGCTTTGTTTTCTTCTCCTTTTAATAAGAAAATATTTCTTTTACAGAAAATAAACTGAGTAGGAAAGATAAAAAAAAAAATCAAATTCATACATATTTTCTGATCTTAGGATGTTTGATATTAACAAATAAACCGAGTATTAAAGATTTAAAAAGGTCAAATTCATACATATTTTTTGATCTTAGGATGTTTGATATGAACAAATTTACCCGTTTTCCATTTGGGTGGGTGTGCATGACTTCCACTTGCTTTAGGACATGACACACTCCTTTTTTGATGAAGCCTATGTATGGAGCTTTATATTTCTCACTGACCAGCACTGTAAGAAAGATAGGAAATAAGGAATAAAACTTGCTAAATGTAATCAACATGAATTTCTTTTAATAAAAAAAAATTGTCTTTATGAAGACTATGGATATTCTATTGATTAATCTAATATGTTTATATAGTCTTCTTATTAGAAAAATACTAAAAAAAAATTTAACAATGAATGCAACACTCCTCCCCCCCCCCCCCCCCCCCCAATACTTTTTTTTAAGGAATAAAACATGCTACATGTACAACATTCATAAATAAAAACTTTATTTTCAAAAAACATGATATATAAACCTCCTATTTTGTAGAATGATAATGTACTCACATGAATTTGGAGGAGCACTCATCCATTCTATAAGCTCAGCTACTTTCAGTACTGGCTGTTTTGGCCACATTTGGTACTGACCACAGGACAAAAGTAAGTTCACCTTTTCTGTGTGTTCTCGTTGTTTGATTTGCTGAAATATGATTAAAATATTACTTGGAAAAGATATGTTACCTATAGTTTTCATATTGACTTTTAGGCAATTTTTTCAATGGATTATGCAAGATTGTTTCAGATTTGTGTGACGGTGTTTTTGTGTGTGTATGTTTTGGGGGGGGTGGGTTGTGGGGGGTTGTAGGACATGTAATCATACCTCTATCACCCTCATATAGTCTGTAGACGATATTTTCAGGAATTCACAATTTGGTTGTACAGTAACTACACTAAATATTCTGAAATCAAAACAGAGACAACTATAAATTCCTTATAATTAAGGCACATAAATACTTTGTGGCCTCAACGTTGGCTTGCATGCTTCTAATTTAAGTTTGAAATACTTGTAACATATACACTCGTATGTATATACAATGATGAGTAATATATTTGAAAAGAGGGGAAAACACAATAGGCTTTTAGTTAGAAGTTTTATTTTTTTCTTTCAAATTCAACAGATTATTTATTCATTACTAACATCTTTGATATTTTATTGATATCATAAATATTATTTGACTACTACATGTAAATAATCTATTATAACAGCACATTGGTTAGTCATTTATCGGGCACTTAAAAAAAAAACCTTACTTTGAACCTTGTTCTCTTTTGACTTTTACTAAGGTACCAAAACAGTCACCAGCAACTAACTGAAATTTAAAAAAAAAATATAAATAGACTTTTCTATCCCATCTGACATCAAATTCATAAAAAAAAAAATTGTTTGTTACTCTCTAACTTACTTCATTTTAAGTAAAATATATATGCATGTACCTCCTTTTGGGTCTCCTCTGGTACTAAAGGGGTGGAGCTACGTGAATCAGGAACTTCATTATTCTCATTTAAGTATGGGTTCGTAATTGGTTTTACTGCTCCTCTTAACACCATATGCAACCCAGCCTTTCCAAACACTAAAATTTTTGCAACAAATATATAACGTAAAAGAATTAATAACAAATTATTCAAAAAGATGCTTGTTCACAAAAGCATTTATATTCACTAAGTAACTAAAGTAGGACAAATATACAAACATAGGTAATCAAAGATTACGAAGCTCACCTCGACAAATGTTATCTACATGTAAGGCAAATTTCACATCATATTTTTTTCTAGTTAGGGTACATCCCAAGATCAATATCCATGCAAGTTTGGTTGAAGTAGGACTTACAGTTACTTGGAAATAGATCTGCTCAAAAAACTTATAACCTGTTTACTAATCAAGAAAATTTTGGTAAGTTCCAACATCCAAAGCAAGTCTGGAAGTTTCATCCTTAGATGCACCATCTATGCAAGTTTAATTATAACAGGCCACAGTATTATATAGTTACTCCAAAAAAATTACCCTGGTCACTCATCTGGAAAATGTAAGTCAGATTCAGAATCCAAAGCAAGTTTGGAAGTGTCCATCCCTAGATACACCATCCATGCTAATTTGGTTAAAATATGGCTAAAATTCACTAATGTGGAAAATCTAGGTCAGATCAAGCATCCGAAGCAGGTTGGTAAGTGTACATCCCTAGATGCATCATTCATGAAAATTTGGTCCAGGTATAGGGCTTATAGTTACTTGGGAATGGGACTGCTCCAAAATCTAAACCTGGTCTCACATGTGGAAAATCTAGGTCAGATCCAGATGCATCATCCATGCAAGTTTGGTCCAGGTAGGGCTTATAGTTAATTGGGAATGGACCTGCTTCAAAAACATTAATCTAGTCACTCATCTGGAAAATCTAGGTCAGATCCAGCATCCCAAGCAAGTGTGGTAGTGTCTATCCCTAGATGCATCATCCTAGCAAGTTTGGTCCAGGTAGGGCTTATAGTTACTTGGGAATGGACCTGCTCCAAAAACTTTAACCTGGTCACTCATCTGGAAAATCTAGGTCAGATCCAGCATCCGAAGCAAGCGTGGTAATATCCATCCCTAAATGCATCATTCATGCAAGTTTGGTCCAAGTAGGGATTATAGTTATTTGGGTATGGACCTGCTCCAAAAACTTTAACCTGATCACTCATCTGGAAAATCTAGGTCAGACCCAGCATCCGAAGCAAGTGTTGTAGTGTCCATCCCTAGATGCATCATCCATGCAAGTTTGGTCATGGTAGGGCTTATAGTTATTTGGAAATGGACCTGCTTCAAAAACATTAATCTAGTCACTCATCTGGAAAATCTAGGTCAGATCCAGCATCCCACGCAAGTGTGGTAGTGTCCATCCCTAGATGCATCATCCTAGCAAGTTTGGTCCAGGTAGGACTTATAGTTACTTGGGAATGGACCTGCTCCAAAAACTTTAACTTGGTCACTCATCTGGAAAATCTAGGTCAGATCCAGCATCCGAAGCAAGCATGGTAATATCCTTCCCTAAATGCATCATTCATGCAAGTTTGGTCCAAGTAGGGCTTATAGTTATTTGGGTATGGACCTGCTTCAAAAACTTTAACCTGATCACTCATCTGGAAAATCTAAGTCAGATCCAGCATCCGAAGCAAGCATGGTAATGTCTGTCCATCCCTAGATGCATCATCCATGCAAGTTTGGTCCAGGTAGGGCTTATGGTTACTTGGGAATGGACCTGCTCCAAAAACATTAATCTAGTCACTCATCTGGAAAATCTAGGTCAGATCCAGCATCCCAAGCAAGTGTGGTAGTGTCCATCCCTAGATGCATCAGCCATGCAAGTTTGGTCCAGGTAGGGCTTATAGTTACTTGGGAATGGGACTTGCTCCTAAAACTTTAACCGGGACGCCGACGCTAATGCCGACGGTATAGCATAAGCTCATCTCAACTTTGTCGAGGTGAGCTAAAAACCATTTATATTCACTAAGTATAACTGAAGTTGGACAAATTAATATATTACAAAATTAAAGCATTTATATTCACTAACTAACTGATGTAGGACAAATATAATACTTGCCATTATCATCATTATAAACATGATTGCACAAAATTTATTCACACAACAACAGTACATCTTGTTTTAATTATTATTTATTAAAAGCACTTTACCGGTGATTACAGAATTCTAAATTTAGAATTTCTTGGTGATCAGTTTTAGCATACTTGTGAATCAAAATACATGCTTTTATATATGTAAAATTAATAAAATACTGCAATATTTTATAAATCTTCACTTGCTTAAAATACTGCTCGGATGTATTGAACATTATGTGTACCATACCTGTGAAACCTGGTTCTTTCCATTGCTCAAGAACCCCAACAACACAAAGCTCTCTTAGGACTTTGGAAGGAATCTTGTCTTTAAAGAAATTAAATGTTTGTAGAATGGAAAATATTTTCTCTATTTCTGGCAGTGATCTCTCAAATGGTCTGGAAAAAAAATATGTGAATATACAGCTTGCTGTACATAACTGATTAAGAATTCTGTTAGTATCTTTTGTTCTAAAAATGCAACACACTTATTCAAAATGCATGACACTTGAGAGAAATTACAATGCATCTTATGTATAATTAAAGTATCTATTCCATACCATGAATCTTTTAAATCATAAGGAGAAATTTTCATGTATTGTAAAAAAAAAAATTAGCATTTGCAAGGGACATAAATGTGTAGCTAAAAGTATCCCTATGACAAAGAATATACATGTACATAAGTATCAATATTCGTTGACCATGTAAGTTGTGTAAGGGGTACATGCACATGTGTCCATAAAAACTTCCATAAAAAAATGACTAAATTATATCTAAATATTGTATTTGAGGCCAGTTTGATGTTTATTATACAAGTAACATACAATTTTCTGAACAGCTTCCTGAGTGTCCTTAGGTTGTCAAGTCTAACATGTTCTGGGTCCTCGCTCTTCCTCTGTTTGTGATAAAGCGGCATATAGTCTCGGATATCATGGGTCATCCCATCAACTGGATATTCCTTTCCTTTAGGTTTCACAACCTCCGAGGATTTCCCTGCAGTAAGACATGATGAACTTTTATTGTATAGGCATTGTGATGTAACATCTTTTAAATGATTCTTATTTTTTCAATATTTGTGAAAGATCTTTACATAAAATCATTAGATTATATTCTGAAATTAACAAAATAATGTCACAGGATGGTTAGTACAATGCAGATACCTATATCATACCTGTAGCTCTGTTGGTAAAACTGGCAGCTGAAGACTTATGTTCACTGCAAATGGTAAAGAAAAAAATTATCATTATCATTTTGATTTTTACTTTTTCTCAGAAGCATGATTATATTACCGGTATATACCAGGTAATGTGACAATAGAAAATTATATATAAATCTCTTATTTTACCACCTTCTATTTCTACATTAAATAAGCCATATAAAATTAAGTTTGATTATTTTTTCAAAACTCAGATCTGCATGATTTTTTACATGTATTTAACTGGCTGCATGAGTACATGTATGCAAAACTGTTAGAGCAATTATACATAAACATGCAATATTATTAAATGATCGGAATTTTGAAGTTCTCTGATTGATCCAGACTCTCTTCCCTGTATTTTAAAGCATGTATGATCGTTGTAACATAAATAATGCAGACATCAGTGTCGAAAAGTCTAAACACTTTTAATAGTAAATGTTGTGAATACTTATTATTTTATAATATTATTTTCCACCTTGTTAAAGAGTTGCTAAACTGTTGAAATATAATTATGTGGTGCTTCACACCATATTATATTACGAGTGTTTATATTTGATGGAGAGAATAACTATAGTGTGAAAATGATATAAAATTCCTGATCATATAATAAAATGACTACTGACCTTTGAATTTGATGTACTTGTGACTATATGGACCTGGTGAGGTTTTGGTTAACCTCGGCCTTCAGCCTCAGTCAACCAATACCTGACCAAGTCCATGCAGTCACAAGTAGGCCTCATTAAAAGTCATTAATTGTGTAGCATATTGTACAAACTTGAGTAAATTTGTATACATGTAATTATGTTTATTTTATTATTTTTTTCCATTTTTTAATTATCCCCCCCCCCCAATTTTATAGGATTAGAATCCCAAAGTTAAATTTGTGTGGCCTTATCAATTTTTGGCAGTAAAACTTTAAATCACCTTCTTTTCTCTGAGTGGTTAGGGTAACCAGATTTTTTAGGTGGCTTTGCAAATATTTGATGATAATTCCTCATGAATTCTTCATGGGCTTCTTCGGTTGACTCAGCTTGCTCCCTAGATTAAGAAGTTGCAAAGAATATAATGACAGGAGGTTCAGAACATTTAAGATTTTCTTAAATTGCTTTTTCCATCCAGTGTAATTTTTATGGATTGTCCTCTATAAATGAGGCTGTAAATTGAGAATGTAACATTACATGGTGTATTTCTTCTATAATTACCTTCCTTTTAGGCCTTCAATGCTACAAAGCATTCGAAGTTTTTCATAGTCAATGGTAGGTTGTGGTGTGTCATCAATTTTTGGAACTAAAATGGAGGGGGAAAAAATCAAACTTAACAGAAATGAAAGATGGTAGTCAACAGATTTACATTTGATACGATTAAGAAACAATCAAACAAACAATATTACATTCACTTTATAAACATTGGTAAATAACGTGATTAAAATTTCATTTCAGGTTAAAAATGTCAAAAATAAGGTTTGTAATGAAACTTCAATTTAGAAATTTAATTACATTAAACAGTTTAAATAAACATTAAAAGTACTGAAGTTTAAGGAATAATTTTAGAACGTAAACTCAGGGACCTATATACTAACGGGAATGAAATAATTTTGCGTAAATATTTTATGATCTTGAACCATTGAGTTATTTTGTTATTTACGTTTAAGTCTCTGTCGTTTATTGATTCCCCATTCTTGAAGAGTTTGATCTCTTTTGACGAGAGCCATCGTTATTTCAACTCCTTTCTTTCGACTCGCACCTGCTCTGCGTTACTTTTCCGCCATATTGTTGACATTCAGTATTGTCCCAGCAACAGCGTTAGTTGCGTATAACAAGTTAATCAGAAAAAACTTAAATATTCTATTTCAAATTTCACCTTTAAACTCCCGATATAATTGAATTTTCGATACCGAATTTTCTATGAACAAAACTTGAGCATTATATTTTGAGCTTAATTATAAATTCGAAAATATCGAAAGTGAAAACCTAGACAGGGAAACATCCGGAATGGCTGAATTCCCAAATCTTGGCAAACATTGTAGCTTAGAAGGTTGTAAGCAAATAGGTAAGTAAAATTCATGATTGCTAGGTAGTACCTGGATACAAAGGCTTTCATTTGAACTCATAAAATAGTAAATGGATTTTTATGGTTTAAAGATTATTTCAGTATTCCTTTGTGGCATGGAGGAAATTCGAGATTTTCACAGATCATCTGTCAGATGACAAAGACCTCAATCTTAGAAAGAGACATAAATAAAATGAAAAAACATTTTTTGTGTGGCTATCGTCTTTGCTTTATACTTGATTTATCCATTCAGCTAAATTGCCACTGAAAAATGGAATCCGGGATGTTTCGCGCCCATTCCGTTTCGCACTGAGATGGTTCGCACCCCGATGATTCGCGCCAATTTAGGTGCGAAACATCTCACGATTTATTTAAAATATTCCATGACATTTTTATCCATTTTAAAAAATTGTTTATCAATTATAAGATATACATATATAGATGTTGTGTGTTGAAATGCATAATAATACATGTATGCACTGCCAAAGATTACGGATCGTGTTCATCAAATATTCCATGAGGATTTAATTGTAATTAGTTGTAGATCGAAAGGTGAGAATTTATTAATTGACGTGTTGGTAGTCAAACCAGCAGTAATTACTTAATTAGATGGCGGTATTATAATTAGCATGGTGTTAAAATAATACATAATTATATGCTATGTATACTTCAAACACAGACATAAATAATTATGTCTCTGCTACAAATATAATCTTGAATTAAAAAAAATGTTTCAAAAAATATCAAAATTTACATCAAAATTTACACCATATAACATGTTTAAAATCTAAAATTTTGTTAAACGAACTTCAGTAGGCGAGCACATATTTGTACAACAATGTGGGGCGAACCATCTCAGCGCGAAACGGAATTGGTACGAAACATCGCAGCGCGAACCATGCTTAGGTGCGAAACATCCCGTTACCGAAAAATGGAGTTATGATAATTATATATCTGAACAAAGAATCAAGCTCTGCTGTAAACAAACTGACTTCATTTAGCTGTTTAGGTATATTAAAAAAAATAATAATAAACAACAGACAAACATGTGACGTCTGAGAAAGGGAACAAAAAAACACACAAGAAAAAATAATTATTTAGGAACTTGGGAGATAGGACGTCATTGGTTTTGAGACTGTATTTGTAATTATAGAACGTTCTGTCGTTAAAATGATATTTGTCCTACAGAGTACAGACCCGGTTTAATGATCTGTGGTGAGGGCCTGAGACACAGATAGATTATTCTAAGTATATTTGAAAGTGCATGAGGATATTTTTTTTTTTTTGAGAGAGAGAGAGAATACTCAAAGGACTTGTCAAAGTTCAAGTAAATCTCTAGACGTGAATTTATTTACATTTACAGAAGTTCGAAGATCTACATACCAAAGAAAGAATTAAAAACTCTAGCACTATGAGGAGAAGTTACAGTAATCTTCATGACATTGTTGACAATTTACGTTTTGGATCTGAAAAATATTTCCAAACATTTATTGAAAAGAAAGGAGATCTAAATCTCAGTGATGGATATGGAAGAACCCTCTTGATGTGGAGTGTTTTGGATGGAAAAACCCAACGGGTTCAAGCCTTGATTGATGCAGGGTGTAGGTTGAATCTAGGGGATAGAAATAAAGATACAGCATTAATGCATGCTGTCCAGACTTCTAATATAGAGATTACTCAAGTACTGGTTTTGCATGGTGCCATAATAAATACTATAAATGAGGAAAACTCCACACCACTTAGTGAAGCAGTACAACAGAATAACTTACAAATGGTTAAACTTCTATTATTGTATGGAGCAGACAGCAATTACATTTGTGGTCATAGGCATTTACAAAATATTAGAACTGCATTGACCACTGCCATAGAGAATGACCAAGAGGAAATAATTTGTGCCATTCTCTCTGCCAGACAGACAAATGTTAGTCTACATTTGAGTGTTTGTATTCAAAGTCACAATTTGGGAACATTTCAATTTTTGCTTGCACATGGAGCAGATGTCTTTTATAGTGGTGTCGAGGGATCTATTGGTGAAACAATTCTTAATGAATATCTCAATGGACATCTCCAAGCAGAGAAATTTTTGATCAGTTTATTCAAAGAAAATGGATTTTGTACATCCATTTCAAAGAAGAATGACATTATGAAGTGTCTCATTCATCTACAAAAACAATGCACATATTCAAAAACAAAAGAGAAGCTAATGCCAATTATTCTTAAATATTTGTTGCCTCTAGGGATAATCCCAGATGCAACAATAAAATCAAAAATAAGCATGTATGCTCCAGACACCAGAGGACCTTTACCTATTCCTTGTCTTCAGAAACTGTGTAGAACAGCCATCCGAGAGGCAATGTGTTTTGGAATTTCATTAAAGACTGATAAACTGCCTCTTCCAGTGAGACTGAAAAACTTCATTTTATTTGATGAAATAGGTTTTAAAAGATGACTTGTATACATGTGGTTGATAAAGAAAATCAAATATTTGGAATGATTGTAAAATACTATTATAAATTCATTGTATTTAAAATAAGCTACATGCAGTTTTCTTGATATACCTGGTATATTAATATCAAATTTGTGATCTGGTCAGAGCTAATGTACATGTCATGATGTGTGTATATTAAAAAAGATGACTAATATTGTAGCATTATTTATGCATGGAATAAAAGTCTACTTGATCAAGAAAGAAAAATATAAAAGACTTTTTTTGTTGAATGTACACAGAAGTGATAACCATATATTGAAGTTTTAAGTTGGTTGTAATTTATCTATTGAAGGAATATTACAAAACAAAACCTTTCATTATATTTGGAACATATTGTTTATGACAATGCAAATGGCATTTCAGGTTCAGGCACATTGTATCTGGTCTGGAGGGGGTGGGGCAAGGAGGACTACCCCCCAACCCCACTTTTTTTTCCTTAACAACCTTTTACCTTTGTTTACTGAAATTGAAAATGTTCATCCCCCCCCCCCCCCCCCCAGGATTTTTTTATAAGCCCGTGTTTGACAGGACATATTTTGGTATGGTGGCAATCGCGTCCCTCTGTCTGTCTGTCAGTCAGCCTTTTCATGTCCGACTCGTAATTTTAATATTATGAGGACTAGAATCATCAAACTGTCAGTTGATGCATCTTGGGTAGAAGGTGTGTTGGCTTTAAAAGATAGGTCACTAAAACCTGATGTTATGGCCAAATAAGGGGGAAAAAAACCCTGTTGTATACCCATTCACAAAAATAGGTGATATTACCTATTCGAATAGGTGATATCACCTCTACAAATATGAGATATCACCTATTTGAATAAGTGATATCACTCATTCAAATTGAATAGGTGGTATCACTTATTAGAATAGGTGATATCCCTTATTTCAATAGGTGATATCACCTATTGGAAATGAATAGGTGATATCACCTATTCGAATACCTTTCTCTCTTTATTATGTAAAGTGGGGCATTTTCCGTGTGGAACAGTTATTATGTGTTTTTCATGATTTTTCCTATAGTATACATTATAGATAAGTGTAATGAATATAATTTGTGAGCAAAACAAACTACAAATTCTACTTCGGTGCTTAAAACTAAATGCGAAGCTGTAATGCATTGTCTCCAAGAGTGGTAAGTTATAAAACGAAGTGAAAGTAAATGAGAATTAAAGGCTATAGTCTTGGGAGCAGTTGTTATTTCATAAATTATTTGAATAGGTAATATCACCTATTTGAATAAGTGATATCACCTATTCAAAATGATTAAGTGATATCACCTATTCGAAAAGGTGATATCACCTATTTAATTTGAATACTGTGGAATCATTTTAATTCGTGGGGGTCAATGTTCGTGGGCAAGCAAAATTTTACTTGTTCGTGAGGACTTAAATTTCGTGGGTTAATCGTTTATACGGTAGATTTAATGAATTAATATGTTTACAAATAAACGTTCGTGGGGATGTAAATCCACGAACATTGGTCCCCAACGACAATGATGATTCCACAGTAGGTGATATCACCTATTTGAATAAGTAATATCACCTATTCAAAAGGAATAAGTGATACATGTATCACCTATTTGAATGGGTGATATCACTTATTTGAATAAGTGATATCACTTTTTGGCAGTAAATACCAGAAAGGTGCCTCATAGTTATCCATGTCTCTTCGGTATAATTTAGTAGAGGAATTAAAGGTCTGACCTCAGTCCTCTTGACTGTATCTGATACATGTAGCATATTTTGTCATATTAAAATATTTTTTGATTCTCAGTCTTTTGTTTTCAAAATAAATTTTTAGGTCACCTGAGTCACTCAGGTGACCTATTGCTATCTGTTTTCGTCCGTCGTCAGTCGTCCGTCGGTCGTAAACTTTTGAACATTTTCAGCTTTTTCTCTTGAACCACTGAACCAATTTCAACCAATTTTGGCATATAGCATCAATGGGTGAAGGGGTACAAAAATTGTGAATTTCATGGTCCCTGCCCCCCTGGGGCCTGAGGGATGGGGCTAAAACCATCAAAATTAGTGCTATCTTTAAAAATCTTCTTCTTTACTCCTGGACATCAAGCAGTCAAACTGTTGGCATGATTGTAATAAGCATTGAGCCCTCTACCAAAATTGTGAAATTCATGGCCCCAGGGTCAGGGGTTCTGGTGCTAGGGCGGGGCTAGATAGATCATATAGTGAAAGTGCATTATTTCTTTGAAAATCTTCTTCTCTACTCCTGGGTATTATTGAAACAAATTAAATACATAGTTATGATAAGCAAGGGTGACTCTACCAAAATTGTGAAATTCATAGCCCCAGGGTCAGGGGTTCTGGGCTAGGGTGGGGCTATATAGATCATATAGTGAAGGTGAATTATTTCTTTGAAAATCTTCTTCTCTGCCCCTGGGTATTATTTAAACAAATTAAATACATAGTTATGATAAGCAAGGATGCCTCTTCCAAAATTGTGAAATTCATGGCCCAGGGTCAGGGGTTCTGGTGTTAGGGTGGGGCTATATAGATCCTATAGTGAAGGTGAATTATTTCTTTGAAAATCTTCTTCTCTGCCCCTGGGTATTATTTAAACAAATTAAATACATAGTTATGATAAGCAAGAGTGACTCTACCAAAATTGTGAAATTCATAGCCCCAGGGTCAGGGGTTCTGGTGCTAGGGCGGGGCTATATAGATCATATATGAAAGTGCATTATTTCTTTGGAAATATTCTTTTCTGCTCCTGGGTATTATTTAAACAAATTAAATACATAGTTATGATAAGCAAGAGTGACTCTACCAGAATTGTGAAATTCTTGCCCCAGGGTCAGGGGTTCTGGTGCTAGGGTAGAGCTATATAGATCATATAGTGAAAGTGCATTATTTCTTTGAAAATCTTCTTCTCTACTCCTGGGTATTATTTAAACAAATGAAATACATAGTTATGATAAGCAAGGATGCCTCTTCCAAAATTGTGAAATTCATGGCCCAGTAATCAGGGGTTCTGGTGTTAGGATGGGGCTATATAGATCCTATAGTGAAGGTGAATTATTTCTTTGAAAATCTTCTTCTCTGCCCCTGGGTATTATTTAAACAAATTAAATACATAGTTATGATAAGCAAGAGTGACTCTACCAAAATTGTGAAATTCATAGCCCCAGGGTCAAGGGTTCTGGTGAAAAAAAAGGGGGGGGGCTCTGTTGATTATATAGTGAAAAAGCAAAATTTCTTTGAAGATATTCTTTTCTGTTCCTGGTTAAAAAGCATAGAAGGTGTATAGTTATGATGAGCAAGAGTGCTTCTTCCAGAGTAGGGAATTGCATGACCCCTGGGTCAGATGTGCTGGTGTAAGGGTGGGGCTCTTGATAATATAGTGAAAATGCATTAATTCTATTAAATAGTCCTGTCTACTCTTAGTGTTAAGCAGATAAACAAAGTGATTACTTATGATGAGCAAACTTCTGGTCCCAGGGTGAGAGGATCTGGTGTTTCTTGCTGGGGAGGGGGGGGGGGGGCTCTATTGATAATATAGTGAATCTGTAATAAAAATGCATTATTTCTTTTAAAATCTTCAATGCACCTGGGCATATCAGAGGCAAAAAGAGTAAAAGTTTTAATAAGGAAAAGTATTTTCACCAGATTTTTGAACACCTGGACCATTTGGTCAAGTGTTCTGGTCCTGGCCGGGGCTCTATTAATTTGTATTCTACTGAGAGGAGTTATTCCCCTTTGCCATTTACTTTTGATAATTAATCACTGTAAGTAATGTACTTGAAAGGTTAATGGAATAAGAGAATTATGCAAGAATGTTTATTGTATAATACATAAGGACTTTCATAGTTTTAATGATCAGATATACTTGTAAGTAATAGATAAATAAAAATGAGACAAAAATAACTTGTCTTTTTAAATGTTCATCAAAGACCAAGAGAAGCCAATGTAAGAAATTTTAACGAGGAATTAAAATAGTACAGAAGCACTGATAGTTTGCTATTTAATATACTGTATGGTGATATTGATAAATGGGGAACAGATTAGAATCTAATTTATGAATTGTTAATGAATACTAGACTATTTTGTTGATCCTGATCACCCTATTTTTCTTGCTTTTGGGCAACAAAGCTTCACCTTTCAGTTCATTTTATACTCTATGGATCCTCTAAATTGTTGTATTATACTCAGGTGACCGTTAAGGCCCTTGGGCCTCTTGTTATATGAAGTTATAAAAAATTAATTTGATATTATATATATATATATATATATTTTATATCTCAAACAACCAAATTGCTGAGTGTCATGTTTGGATCATTAAGATGACAGATGTAAAAGTTTTGTCAGTGTTATAATCATAAACATAATGATTAGTATTCTGATGTTTTATTAGGCAGTGTCTTTGTTCATCTTTCATAAGCAATACAGTGAACAAAGCTGCAGATTGGGCATTTGTGTCATGACCAGTTGAAAAATGAACTACTATTTTTAATAGCTACAGTGTAGGAGATCTTCTCCTAACATTAGAAATGGAGAAAAAAGAAATCTAGCTAAATGTACCAATGTTGACATGATTTTCTTCCATGCACACTTTTCTATTTATGATAAGTAAACAATATCTGACAGGCATCATATCATTCACCCAGGTGGTGCACTTTATTTTGTTTATTACAATGTAAATGCCGGTGGCATCTTAAGTTCAGGCAAGTTGTATCTTGAGAGGGTGGGACAGAGAGGCCTGCCCCCACCCCCACTTTTTTCCAAACAACTTTTTACTGCAGTTGAAAATGTTCATCACCCTTCTACCCCATAGATATATTTTTTCAGATAAGGTGTCAAATTTTTTTTTCTGCCCCCCCCCCCTTTTTCAAAATCTATACTACCTGCCGGAGGTTGGACTTAAATATGTTTGCAATCTGAGAATGATCATTGTTTCCAATTAGTGATTTTTCTTAATTTAATAAAATTATTAGCATTAAAATAGAATTTTTATCAAATTTTATCAATCTGCATTCGATCTGACCTACA